TCTCTCTATCACTCACACTGTAACTCGCTGAAATGGAAGCCACAGTTATCTCTATCACTCACACTGTACTTTAAAAAGGCAGAGACTTCTTTCTGCTCTCTGGCCTGAAGCCCTGTTCCATGGCCAGGGGCACCTTGAGAATGTTTAGGGGCTCAGAATTTAGGTTCTGATCACCACCACTGATTCTGCAGTAAAGATTTCCTTTCTTTTCTCCTTAAAAATGCATTACCTTTATGTATACATTCCCTTACTTGGGGAGGGGCTTGTGCATGGACGGGTATGCATGTGGGGGTCAGAACAACCTGCAGATCTCGGTTCTCTCCTTCACCCAAGGTAAAGAAAATTCAGGTTTTAACGGCAAGTACCTTTACCCACTAAGCCACCTCACAAGGCCGAGTAAAATTTCTCTCATCTGTTCTCATCTGAGTTGTTCTTATGCCTTACCATTTTATACTAGCCCTCTCCTAAGATTTTTGTCTTTCCTTCTGTCATGGCTAATTTGACCTGTCCACTGACAAACCTGGGGAAGGGGAACCTCAACTGAAGAGGCTTATTGGCCTGTAAGCATGTCTATATCTATCATTAATATATGTGAGATACATACATATATGTATATATTATATATATATATTTAAAATTAGATATAAATAGACATATTTATATATAATATCTAACTTGCTAATTGATAGAGAAAGGCCTAGTCTACTGTAGGCAGTGCCACCCCTGAACAGGTGGTCCTGGGTTATATCAGAGCAGCAGCTGAGCAAATCAGAGCAACAAGCCAGTAAGCAGCGTTCCTCTGTGGTCTCTGCAGTGGCTTCCCTGGGTGATGGGTTATTACCTGGAAGTCAAATAAACCCTTTCCTTCCCAAGGTGATTTGGCCATGGTGTTGATCATAGCAAGAGAAAGCAAACCAGAATATCTCCATTCTTCTTCTAAGGGGTATCATGTTATAACAAACACTGATCATGTAACTAATAGCAATTAGCTCAAAAGTAACTACTTCATCAGGTTCTAAGTTTTGAATGGTTTAATATTATTTTCCAGATTAATGACATGTGTGCTTTTTTCCTTTAATAATAGCAAATATTCTATTAGATTTACCGAATACCGCTAACCTACTCTTTCAATATATCTCATCAATCTACTGCACTATCATACTAAGGAGATTAATGCTTTATGCTGATCAATTCCTATATTATAGACAAAGAGAACTTTCAGAAAGTTCTATTCTATTTTACTCTTTGCATAAAGTCTTCCAAATATTCTTAAGATATTTAATAAGGTAAAAGATAACCCACACCGTCTATGCAATTTGATCTGATTTTAACCTCATTTCTCTGTCTCTTACTCCATTTTCTCTAGACAAATATCCTTGTAACTACTAAGCGTGTCCAGGCTGTTCTCATGACCAAAAGGCCCTTTACTTCTATTCCAAGGCACTGATTAGTCGAATTATTATTCATATTTCAGCCAAACACATTCTATCAAGAAGGTCTACACTTACCTACACTCATCAACAAAACACTTTTATTCCCTTATATTTATCACTGAGACCCACATATAAATGCACACATTCCTTTCTCCCCTAGTATAAGTATAATTATAACAGTCTAAGTATAAACATAATTGCTGGTTTTGCTTCTCAGTTTTCTAGCAGTTTAGCCTAATCTTATTCCTATACATAAATACTTATAAAATTAATAAAAATGTTCATCTTGGTTCTCCCAGTATTTATCAGTGTGTAACAGGAGCTAAGCAGCTTATAAAATCCTACATAAACCAAATAAGGGACTGTGCAACAGAAAAATAAATGCAGCAAAGTTCCTCCGAAGGACAGGAAACTCGTGTGAGCACTGCAGTGGCCTGAAAGAGTAAGAAGAAAAGCATGGGACCTAACTGCTGGAAGCTTTCAAACTAAAGCCAACTTCAGAGCTTTATTATTCTTATGCAAAGAAAACTTACTCTCATATATTAAAATATATCAACTATACTTACATGCATAATCTGCAATCACAGGTGTTGCATGGGAAACCCGACTCAGTAAAGAGGATTTTCCAGCATTTGGGAATCTGAAATAACACATTATATATGTGTGTGTGTGTGTGTGTTATAACAATATAATGCATATGTCCATTATAACAAATACCAGAACTACTAAAAGTTACATATTTCTGAATTCCCAATATTTCAAGTATTCACTGCTTTAGTGGGTGGTGTGAACCTGGGGAGTGGGGCCTAAAAGTGAGATGGATTAAAGTCCCATGCAATAGCCAACTTTATTCAAGTATACTCTGAGAGACAGGAAGCAGCACATGGGTAAGGCGTCCAACACAAGGGCAGGCCACATGCAGCAACACCAAGGTTTCCATAGAGACACATGAATAACAACTCGAGTCAGCTCACTCCTATCCTACACCTCAGAGGAGCAGAAAAACACACTCCAAGAACAGTTCTGTGTTTTGAAGAAACTGAGGTCACAAAACTCTTGTCTTGTTTTCTTGGAGTTTTCTCACAAGCACTCAAAATTCTCATACAACTCCATTCTTGGACTGTGTCCCAACACAAGAAATAGATTTCTTGCCTGGTGGTGGTAGCACATACCTTTAATTCCAGTCCCTGGCAGGCAGGAGGCTCTCTGAGTTCAGGACCAGCCTTGTCTTCAGAGCTAGCACAGAGAAACCCTGGCTCAAAAAGCACCCTCTCAAAAGAAGTAAATTTCTTGACTATTTCTGAATTAAGATTAGAATATGGGGTACAGCTCAGTGGTAGAATGTGTACTGTGCACTTGAGAGGCCTAGGAGACAATTCCTCAGGCCTTCTCCACAAAGGATCACCAGTCCAAAATAATATTAGAATACTTGAGAAAATATGAATAAAGATATGAATTTAAGAATTAAAAGAGTGAAGTACCTGTTTTTTGTTTACTTACGTAAACAAAATAAATAATTCAGGGCTGGAGAGAATGGCTGAGGGTCATAAACAGTTTGCACTGCTTCTGCACAGAAGACGAGTTCGGCTCTCGCATCCGACCTGGGCAGCTCACTAGCCCTTGCATGTGACTGCAGCTGCAGAGGGACCTGACACCTCACTCCTTCACATGAACTGGACTGACATGCTCACACCCACAGACACATGTGCATACACACAACTACAAACGAGTTCTTGGCACTCGAAACCTTGCAATTCACCATCTCTCTTTTCTTTTAAGTAATTAGTCTTTCTGTATAGAGGTGTTTTGCTTGTATGTCTATGTACCACATGTGTGTCTTGTGCCTGCTGAAGCCAGAAGAGGGAACTGGAGCCCCTGGGTGTTTGCTGTGTGGATGATGGGGAATTGATCTGGGTCCTCTGGAAGAACTGCTGGTGCTCCTAACTGCTGAGCCAGCTCGTTAGTCAAACACTGACAAAACATTATTTAATATTTTTTTTGGATTATGAACATTTTCAAACACAGACAAAAATACAAAATTAATTAACATAGTAATACACTATTAACACAATTTTTAATTTCTACTTTTTTTTAAAAAATGAGATTATAATAAAATTAAAACCTTTATTCTTTGCTTTTTCTCCCTCCAAAGAGTTTCATATTCTCCTTCCCACTCTCCTTCAAATTCATAACATCTTCTTTCATTTACTGTTATTGCATGCATGTGTGTACTGTGTGTCCACACACACACATTCCCAGATATAACCTGCTCAGTCCATATAATGTTACTTGTATGTCTGTTTTCATGCACACAGTAGTTGCTTAAGTTTCCAGTACCAGGCATGTTATCCCTCTTGTTAAGAATGTCTTAAGTCTAATCAGAGAGCAGATGGTTACTGCCAAGGTATGCAGGCCACCATTGCTTCCTTAGGGTTACGGTGCATTGCTGCTTATTGATATGGTTCATAGGCATCATAGCTGGGTAGAACTGGGTTGCCTTCCTCCTTTGGAAGCTTACATGCTGCTTTCTGATTCCATGAAAGCTAATCCTCAGGGAGCAGGAATGCAGGTCAGTTGCCGCGCAGGGGTCTCCAATTTTTAAAACCTGGTTGTTTGAATACTAATTCAAATAAAGCCTTGGTATTACAATTAGCCAGAGCATCTCTGAAATCTCCTTTTCATATGTTTCCCTTCTATTTTGCTTCTCTTTTGCAATTTATTTTATTTTATTTATATTTTTCTTTTTTAAAAAGATTTATTTATATTGGGCTGGAGAGATGGCTCAGTGGTTAAGAGCACTGCCTGCCCTTCCAAAGGTCCTGAGTTCAGTTCCCAGCAACTACATGGTGGCTCACAACCATTTGTAATGAGATCTGGCGCCATCTTCTGGTCTGCAGGCATACCTGCAGACAGAACACTGATAATACTGTATACATAATAAATAATTCTTCTTTTTTAAGACTTTAGCTTCTCTTTTGCAATTTATTTTATTTTATATTTTCCTTTTTTTAAAGATTTATTTATTATGTATACAGTGTTCTGCCTGCATGTCAGAGGAGAACACCAAATCTCATTATAGATGGTTGTGAGCCACACATAGTTGCTGGAAATTAATCTCAGGACCTCTGGAAGAGCAGTCAGTGCTCTTAACCTCTGAGTCATCTCTCTAGCCCATACAATTTATTTTTAAAAAAACTGGGTCATTTATGCTATAAAGTTTCCTTTCCATAGTTCAGAATTTTCTGCTGCCAGCTGAGCGGTGACGGCACTCACCTTTAATCCCAGCACTTGGGAAGCAGAGGCAGGCGGATCTCTGTGAGTTCGAGACCAACCTGGTCTACAGAGCTAGTTCCAGGACAGGCTCCAAAGCTACTGAGAAACTGATGTAGGAGGTTCTTCTATTCATGTGTTGCTTTCATTGGTTAATGAATAAAGAATCTGCTTTGGGCCTGACAGGGAAGAAGTTAGGTAGGCGGAGAAGACAGAACTGAATGCTGGGAAGAAGGGCAGAGTGAGAGAAGCAATGGATCCCCCACCTGAGATGGACATTGGTTAGAATTTCCAGTAAACCACTGGCACGTGGTGATACACAGATTAATGGAGATGGGTTAAACTAGTACGTAAGAGTTAGCCAATAAGAAGTTAGAGCTAATGGCCAAGCAGTGCTTTAGTTAATCCAGTTTCTGTGTGGTTATTTCGGGGGCTAAGCTAGACAGGTGGCCCAGAAGAATAAAGGGGCCCTCCTTGTAACAAGAAACATTGTCTCAAAATAAAATAAAATAAAAAATAAAAATAAAAAGAATTTTCTGTAGCAATGTACACAGCATCATTTAATATTCTAATATACTCCTTTGCCTGATTCTATAAGCTTTGTTCCTCTAGAAAACCCCAACTAATACAGTATGCCTTGAGATTGTTTTTTTTTTAAAGAATATTTCCTAACTGACTGACCTTCTTTTAAACTGCATGACATGACATTAAGAATGACTTTTCAATAGTTAATATACAGCTTACCCAGTCAACTTTCTAGTGACAAACATTTACATAGCTTCTAATTTTTTGCAATTATAAATAACTGCAAAAATATGTATAATAAGTATCAAAAGGCCTTTGCGATGGTTCAGGGGGTAAAGTCTGACTTCTGTTTGATCCCTAGGATTTACACATGTGCTGTGGCAATTGCACGCTCATACATATATACACAAACACAAATGTAATAAAATGTGTGTACAACTGGAGAGATAAGATATACTATTAACTGATATTTTGGAGTAGTAGGATTAATAACTAAATTAGTCTTTTATTTTCTCTCTGCAAAAAAATTGTATATATTGACTTACTTTGTTTCTAAAAATTTAAACATGGGGCTGGAATAATGGCACAGTGATTAAGAGCACAAGCTGCTCTTCCAGAGGACCTGGATTCCATTCTCAGAATCCACACATACGCCTTCTCTTGGCCTCAGAGGATATCAAGCATACAAGTGCTACAGAGATATACATGAAGGCAAAACGCCATACATATAAAATAAAATAGAAACTAAACAATATGGTGACGATTTTAAATCTTTGTATCTTTAATTTCTTTATTAAAATAAATTTCTACATGAGTAAATATGAGTTTAAAATATATGACCACTTTAAAAGCTTTTGACTTTACTGCTAAATTTCCCTTAAGGGCCCACTTTGTATTAAGTATTAAACAAAAGCATTAAGTAAAAGAATTAAAATAAGAGTCACTTAAGAAAACATTTCCTAAGGACCCATCTTGCCTACCACCACCCACAGTGTCATTTCCCTAACCTCTGTACCCAGCCAGACCTCCTACTTCTGCCTGGTAGGTCTCCCTGACATCCTCGTTCATGACGTCTCCCCAACCAGCCACAAATTACATAAACTAGGAATATTCACTGCCCCAAATTATTATTTACATTTATTTTGTAGTACTGCTCTGCTTAGATGTTTTATAAGAATATAAACAATACTTACCCTACTAGGCCAACATCAGCTATAACTTTTAGGTCAAGGTGAATTATTCGCTTCTGGCCTTTCAAAGGTAAGAAATTTGTGTGTAATTTACCACCAAGGCCACCTTTAGCAACCAAAATTCTATCTTCTTCCTTATTGAGCTCTCCTTTAAGAGGAAAGACAATAAACATTAGTAAGTAAAATCAATAATATGTTGTTTTGTTTTTGTACAAATACATGTCAAGAAATTCCAATTTAGAAATCTAAAGGGCTAAACTTAAGATTTAATGTCTTTATAAAAGGTAGCACTTTTAAAATCAACTCCCTGGGTCTGGCAGCTGAGAAGCAAAGTGTTTGTCTCTGTGGACACAAGGCAAATTAAATACTGACCCCAGAAAAACATCCTTGTAAGCAGCTAAAAGGAAGCTGATTAATATGCTTTAAAACTAAGTATCCTTACCTCTTTAAAGTCATGTTTTTGCCTCTTTAAAGTTATGTACATTTAAAAATATTTAATAAGCCAGCAGCTAAAATAATAAATGTTAAAAATTTTTATTCTGCAATTTAAGAAGCTACTATACTGTTTTCTGAATGAATTTTGGAAACTCTCATCTCTCAGCAGCTCAGAAGCGGCAGCACACCCACCTATAACTCTGCCATTTTCATCAGTTACTGAAACACCCACAGGCACAGGGATTTCACAGTCTTTTCCTTTGGAGCCCTTCAGTGCACTAACTCTACAAAAAAAAAAAAAAGAATCACAAAATTAAATGACTTACAAAGGCAACTAGCAATAAACCCTTCTCGCTAATACAGTTACTAAAAGGTTAAATACTAAAAAAAGGTTATTCTTCTTTTTTACATTTTATACTGTGTGCCATAAAAATAGAAATGAGTCATTACCATGTTAACCACTAAAAGCCATTTCAACCTGAAATGAATATACTGTACATTTGAAATATAAATAATGATTGCTACAATATAAACAAAGTAGAAAACTCCAACAAACCCATTATGAATCTTCTAAAAAACTGACCATAACTGGCAGTACTTAAATCTTACATGAAAACAAGTTGGTATAATCTTCTAACAGTAACTCCACCTTTAGAAATTTATCAAAAAATTGAACATAAACATATGAATTAAGAAACAGGGTCACTTATTGTAGAAAATATCTACACAGGGTATCAGTCATACATTGTGGCTATGGCAATAAAAAAAACCAGAACTGACAGTAGCCTAAAAATTGGCAATGATAAAATGTTAATCCTGATACTGTGGCACAGCTTTCTGAATAAATTTTAGACATGAAGGGCTAAGGAAAAAGAGGGAGCTGTAAAATATTATGCTCCTTCATCTTGCTTCTTTATTTTTTTTTAGATTTATTTATTTAATATGGATACATTGTTCAGCCTCCACATATGCTTGCAGGCCAGAAGAGGGCACCAGATCTCATTACAGATGGTTGTAAGCCACCATGTGGTTGCTGGGAATTGAACTAAGGACCTCTGGAAGAGCAGTCAGTGCTCTTAACCTCTGAGCCATCTCTCCAGCCCCATCTTATTTCTTTATGCTGGATTTTATACGCATACATATAATTATTATTTATATAAACACAGAAAGCATTAGAAAAGTTGATTCAAAGTAAATACTGGTTCTATCTAGGTGGAAGAGTTATCAAGGAAAGATTTCATGGTGCTGACCTGCACTGGGGAAGTTTCGCTCAAGGTGAGTTTGGAGAAAAGTAGGGATTCAGATAACATCTGGTCCCGGAGAGGAAATGCAAAAGAGGCAGTGGAGAATAAGCGGATAAAGGTCCAAACCATCAAAGCAGTCACGTGAGACTGTTGCTAGTTTGGAATCACAAAAAATAATTTACTTTTGAGCTATTAGTTAAGTTCTGAATTCTGTTTCCCAGGAGGGTTTGCTTTTCGTGAAGCTCAGATCATTCCACAAGCACTTACCGACTGTTAGCTCCTCCTCCAGCCACAAAGCGTTTCTGAGGATATTTGTTCTTAAGCTGTTTTAAAGTCATATGTTTATGGGCTATGACCCAGACGTCACCACCTCTTCCACCTTCTCCACCTAAACGAGGGTAACCCATTCCACCACTTCCTCCCTTGGCGAAGATTCTCAGGTTATCAATGAAATTTCCATACTTGAGAAAGAGAGAGAGAGAGAGAGAGAGAGAGAGAGAGAGAGAGAGAGAGAGAGAGAGAGA